GGGTCCCTAGGTTCAATCCCTGGTTCCCAGTAAGTAAGTAAATAAATAAATAAATAGAGTAAAATAAAACAAAAGACATATAGGCATGTCCAGGCAGAGTAGCCCAGGATTATAATCCCAGCTACTCAGCAGGCTGAAGCAGGAAAATCACAACTTGGAGGCTAGCCTGAGCAACTTAGCAAGACCCCCTTTTGAAAATTAGAAAAAAAATTTAAAAGGCCTTGGGGATGTGGCTCAATTGTACAGTGCTTCTGGGTTCAATCCCAAGTACCATGAAAAGGAAAAGGAAAAAGAAGAGAGATGGCAATGTCATGACAGATCATGTCACCTCCATGATCCCCACTGCCAGTGGAGCCAGAAGCCCCTGATTTTTACCTGAAGTGTCTCATCTTGATTCTGTGCTGATGAAGTTCCTATTCTCCATACCCTGAAGCTTGGAATAAGAATAGCATGACACCCCATAGAAGGATTTTGCTCTGACCTTGGCGAAGAAGCCATGGTTTACTTAGGAGCAGGATACACAGAATAGCCCATTCTTACAGTTTTTTCCACTGGATATACAGTCCCTAGTCCTAGTCCGCACACCAGCTCTGTCAGATACATGACTGGGGACCTCTGTTTCCCAGGAATAGTTGGTGACCTTGCCCACTAGCCTCCCTTGAAAGGAACTCTCAGGAAAGCTGAGGCTATACCACCACCCAGAAATTCTGTCCAACTTCCTTTTCCAGGGAGTCTGGACCCTATAGGGACAGGGCTTCCTCTTCTTCATCATCTTCTTTGGAAATGTCATCATTTATTCTCTAAAATAATAATGAAGGGTTACCTTCAACAGACATCCTTGTTTTTTACAGATAGGCAGCAGGTATCTAGCCCTAGACACTATAGCAAGATAATATAGAAAACAGCAATACTCAAATGTTGTCCCCAGTTTTATAAGGTCTTCAGAGCAGAAATTAGTAGTACAGTTTTATACTATAGGCAGAGTATCCCATATGCCAAGAAGATAGGTCCCACTTGGGACCAGAAGTGTTTCAGACTTCATAGGTTTTTGAGATTTTGGAATATTTGCATAGACTTTATTGGTTAAGTATCCTTTTTTGTTTGTTTATTTTTTAGTTGTAGTTGGACACAATACTTTTATTTTTTAATATCTTTATTTTGTTTTTTTTTTATTTTTATGTGGTGCTGAGAATGGAACCTAGCACCACACACATGCTAGGTGAGTGCTCTACTGCTGAGCCACAACCCTAGCCCAAGTATCCTTGTTTTGTTCTACCAAGTCTCTCTTTTTTAAAATTTTATTTTTAAAATTTTTTCTAATTAAAGGCTTCCCCTTCTTTACTCAGTCATAAACTGTGTTTGCTTTTCTGTTTTTCATGGATCATGCTGTCAGTTATTTTAATATGAGAAGTCATTGCCAAATCCAAGGTCACTTAGATTCCCCTGTGTTATCATCCAACATTTTATAGTTTTGTGTTTTACATTGAGGTCTGTGAGTTAATGTTTGTGAAGGGTTTAAGGACTGTATCTCAGTCTGTTTAGGCAAAAATGTTTTAATGGGTAATTTATAAACAACAGCAAACTTATTTCTCACAGTTCTGGGAGCTGGAAAGTCCAAAGTCATGGTGTCAGCATATTCTGTCTGTTGAGGGCCTGTTCCATTGATACTGTCGTCTCATGGAGCCTCATTATGGTGGAAAAGTCAGAGAATCAAGGCAGCATTCTAGAGCATTTTTTTTTTTTGGTGCTCATGTGAAGCACCTTCTACTGAGCTACACCTTTCTTCACTGAATTGTCTTTGTTCCTTGCTTGTCCCAGAAACATGGCCCCATGTATGAGGACTGGACCCTCAAGGTGCTGTGAGACAGATTTAAGATTGCACAGTATGCAATTTGTTGAGGACTTACAAAAGCATTATCTTGGGCAGCAGCAAGACTAAATGGATCCCCACAATTTGGGTGGGAAGAAATGGTGTATATCCTGGCTAGGATAGAGTGACAGAATGTACGTAGTTTATCTTAAGCTAGTATCAGAGTCAGATATATTCCTGCCACCAAGGTCAGTTGTAAATCTCCACATATCAAGCTAATGATTTGATCTATTTATAGTTTTCTGGGAAACTATGCAGGAAAAATTGACTAGGGTTACTCTGGGGTAATCATGATTGTTACAACTTAAGATGGCTTCAGTCATGTCAAGATGAATCCTTACACTGGTCAAAAATCAATCTGGCACTGTGATGCATGCCTGTAAATCCAGCAACTCACCTGTAATCTCAGCTACTCGGGAGCCTGAAGCAGGATTACAAATTCTAGACCAGTCTGGGCAATTTAGATAGCCCCTGTCTCAAAATGAAATTTAAAGTGGGTGGGGGCAGGGAGGTAGATCAGTGGGAGAACATCCCTGGACTGATCAGCAGTAGAGCAATCCCCAGTACTGCTGAAAACTAAAAAAAATCAATGTAGTTTATCTTCCTTCTTTCCTTGCTTGCTTCCTTTCTAGTGGGGACTGAACTTGGGGGCTCTCTACCACTGGGTCACATCCGTAACCATGTAAAAGAATCTTTTATTTTTAGACAGGATCTTGCTAAGTGACCCAGGCTGGCCTCCAACTTGTGATCCTTGTGCCTCATCCTCCCGAGTCACTGGGATTACAGGTGTGTGCGGTCTTGCCTGGCATGGCCATGTGTATCTTTTGAACACAATGCTGTGCTCCAGTGTGGACATGCAGGAATGTCCCTGTACCATCGTCCTCATTGATGGGCTTGGTCAGCTGACTATCCCTGATGTCCTCCTTCCCCCACAGTCTCCTAGGGCTTTATATTTATTAGGATTTTCTGATTGCAGGAAGAAACCGACTCTGATTTTAGCAAGAAAGGGGATTGGGTAGATCACAGAATTGATTAATGTCTGATTAAGCAGGACTGAAGGATGTACAGGGGCAATCACTGAGGACCAGAGCAAAAATGGGCCTCGCAGAAGGTGTGGGCTGCAGTATGAGCTGCTCTGCAGCTAAGAGCCAGAGGACCAGGCCAACCTAAAATACCAATAGGATTTGTTCATGATTTGAAAGGTGCTGTGTGAAGTGCACTGTAAAGCCTCAAGAAAAGGGGGTCAATGCAGAGTCCTGAAGTCCTGAAGCAGCACTACACCTTATGTGGCACAGCTAGCCTGGGATAAGGGGTCCATGAAGTCCTGGGAAGTGGCAAATGACTTGGCTGACTGGTCAGGACCCTGACTGATACGACTGGAAGGCAAGTGACAAGGTTTGGAGAAGAGGGGTACCTGATGGGGTGCTCTTGAAGTGTATGTATAAGATGGGTCTTATGCCCAGGCTATCAGGGAGCATGCGCTGCAGGAGAGCACAGGAAACCGATGGCAGAGGGAATGTCTGTCAGCAATGGCCATTGTGGAAAGCCTGGGGCTCTGCCTGGGCCCAGCAGCAGGGGCTTCCTCTCCCCATGGCTGTTCTAGGTACTGCAGCTACTCCAAGTCCCAGACACCAGCTATAGGGACCAGTGCAGAACTCTCAGTGAGAGACATTCCTCTAAGAGACCAGCAGGACATTTGGTAGCAGGTTGCACACTGCATACCAGCTCTTTTCTCAAGTTCTGCTCTCTGGGAAACTCCTGATAAGCCGCTCACATCTGTTCTTCCTGATTCCTTTCTAAACCAGGAGTCTGGGTGGAAAGAAAGGGCCTTCAGGAAGCCTCCCCCAAGTGCTAATTAAACACCCTAGTGTCAAAGCCCAGAGATAAAGGAAATAAAGCTGTAGCAATTCAATGAAGGACTCTTCTGCAGCCAGGGGCCATGGGCTCAGACAGCTCTTCTAGTCTGGGGCCCCAGGGGCACAAGTAAGGGATGCAAATAGATAGGACCACAGTGTCTTCCTCTATCAATCAGACATATATGTCTATACACCTGTGAGACCCAGCCCTCAATGTGCTGCTGCTTTGCAAAGGCCCTCTCCCTCCAGGCTTGTTCAAGAGGAGGGGTCAGGCTGTGGGGGAGAAGAAATGAAGGGATTGTTAAAGGGGGCGGGCCCGAGAAGCAGGTAAGCAACAGCCCCAGGCTCGCCAGTCCTGTGCATGCCGTAGTTCGAAGGCATCAGACGTTTCTCGGATGGCTGTCTCCACCTCCTACCGCGCTCCATGCTTTTCTTTTCTCTAAACAAAGGTGTCCATTTCAAAGACAGCAAGGGAACGGCTGAGTTGAAAGAGGAAAGCAGTTGTTAAGGCGAAGACAGAGGGAGGAGTAGAGGCATTCGGGCTGCTGAGTCCAGGACCTGGGAAAGGAGCTGAAATTGCGTGCCCCTTCCAAGGCCCATAACTCTCCCTAAGGGATCTGAGAGGCGTGTCCTCCAAACAGGACCCCTTCTCTCCCGGAGCGGCACAGCAAAGGCTACAGGTCCGCTAAGCGTTGCGGGACCGACACGGGGGTCACCAGGTGCTAGGGTGCTCCGGCTGCCTCCACCAAGGCCCCGCCCCCGGCTTCCCGCACCG